AAACCTTAGAATCTGAATCTCTCACTCTAACCCCGCTTATAAAATGTTCAACCCCACCACAATTTCGCTTCACATCCTATTTTGTGTGAAAGTCTTTATAACCCTAACACCTAACCCCTGTAAAAAGCTCGCTCAGGGGTGCCGCTTGCACCCCATTGGAAATTTTTCCATCCTTCCTTGAAAAAATAAAAGTCCGGCCTTGGAATGCACACAGTCGTATATATACCTGCAGCATTGATAAAGAGGCGCCAATATCGATAACTCGTCCCAGTCTGGGTTTCCAAAACTGTTCAAAAATAACAATATTCATGTCACATTGTGTATTCATTTGAATACTAATGTAAAAGCAGATGACATTGAGATTCTGTCCAAATAGTATGCATGTACAGTATTATGTATGATGGATATACAACCTTTTCCCGTTATCTAAATGCAAAACCATTGCGTCGTCGCCACCTTTGACAAAAGTTTCATAATGATGTCTGTCCGCATTTCCTGAAATACGATTGATGAAAACAATTACTGAAAAAAGTTTGTTTTTCTTTTCAATGAACTGAACGTCCAATGGTCAGTCTACCCAGGATGTAAAAACAAGCTGTAATGTGCTTACCAATAAAGTAGTCAAAAATTGCTGTATCTATAATGGACATCAATCTTGGCCCACGGCTATACGGCGGTGTTCTCATAACGGTATTAGCGCAGTAATTTGGATCAACTTCCCATCTAAAATTGTAGTTTTAGATGCATTAACCAAATTAATACATTTTGCACTTGCATTATTTCTTTTTTCAGTTGTTATAATTGCATATATTTTCAACGTTTTCAAAAACTACAAGCTGCAACTCAATGAGTTGATGATTTTACTTGTAAAGTGGAGAGTGCTAGCTGCCACTCAATTAATGAGTTAACAGCTGTCAAACCAGGGGTGGGGAAAATAGTTCAACACGCAAGCATCACTCGCAGGAAATGTCAAACAGCTGCTGGAAATGTGTTAGATTGAAGATTTGTAACTTGAAAATTTAAACATGTACCACAGACTATATGGGACAAACAATTAATGGTGGACAGACATCTTTCCTTGAATTTAAAACCATGGTTGACTATAGGACAGTATGTTTAGGCAGATTTAGCACAAAAATACTCGGGCTATATGTTTACTCTGTACGGTACCAGGTAGCTTTCGGTAGCGATGTGAAAAACACCCATCCGTACCTTTTAGGAACACTATTTTCAGAGAAATTATTGCAACAGAGAGATGTTGTTTCGTTCAGCTTCTGAAAGTTGTACATTCTATATCGGATAGATGCTTTTTCGTGCCACTAGGGAGAGGTATCTGGTATGGTATAAACAGAGACCAGTTGTCCTCCCAGGAAGAAATTCAAGTACTGTATTTGCTCTAGCTCTGAAAACCAATGATTTTTTCTGTAATTAATCTGCTTTAGTTAATCACACTGAAAGATGCTTCACCTTGCTTTCTTGTTCGCCCTGTACGTCCTCTGCCAGGGATGACGCCAATTTTTTAAATCCCATCCGGCTGGTAGCCATATTGTAACAGACCCTTCCATCATTTCACCGTCAGCACAAGCTGCTTCACTTTTCTTGCAGTAATAACATACACCATAGAAACATGTATTGTTACCTGTAAAATTGTAAAAATACATGTTATATACCAGGCCTTAAAAAATATTTTAAAAGGCCGTCTGACAAAATGTCCGATGACTGTGAGTTTGGCTCGGACATATGTTAATGTATGATGATGTCTGATGACCTTCAGTTCAGATTGACTCGAAAATAAGTCACAATGACAAAAGTTAATATCAGCACAATGTATCAATTCTGAAAGTAAATCTTGTGAAGATATCAAATAATTTGTGTCATTCATACATGTTTTCAAGCCAAAATTAATTTGCTTGCCAAAAACAGCAGTACGATTTTGTCAACTTAAGCAATAAGCATGTTTGTCACTTCACCATTTAACTTGCCGCCCTGCCCTCAATTCTAAAACAACACTAATCCAGTTCACTATTATTCTGATTACCCATTTAACATACGGGTCTCTAGTACTAGGGTACATTTTGATTTATGTTGGACAAAGCTACCATTCAACTGTACCCTAGTCTATTACAAAACAATTAATCATCTCAGTGTCTGTGGATAATGCAAGTGTCACCTCAACGTTTATGCATGAAAGAGAACAAGTTTTACACAAAGCTTAGTGGATTAAAGATAACAGTTTTACACAAACCTTGCTTGAAAAATGTTTTCTTTAATTCAGCTTGAATATGTGGCATAACTTCTGTCTTTAAATCGATTATTCTACCAGTAACAATGGGTGCTCGGTAGAAACCAAGAATCCTATTGCGAAAATCATCCACAACAATAAATTCACAAATTTCATTATGAACCTTTGGTGCAGTTATAATTGTTTGATGAAAGGGCCACGGTGGTGTTCCTATACTTACCTGTCAAGATGAAAGGCTGCAATCTCTCCATTGTGTCGGTCAAAACCGCTATATGGGCCGCCTTCAACAATGTAATCTCTCTCATATCTGAAATGTAAATGATCCTAGCCTTAGGGGGAGTTTATGTGGAAAATAAGATCTAATATCGCTATGTAATTTATACAGTCTATATATTATATATACTTTAAATACAGTCTATATATTACAGTCTATATGTTTATATGGGAACCTGACCCAGGGCTGGCCCACCAAGGCAAGATCTCACTTTGTGAAACAGGGATCTCGCCAAGGCGGGCTGAAAATCTCCTAATAAGTATATAAACACAATTACCCACCCAGGCTGTTATTGCACTGTTCTTGCAAATATATTGTTTTAAATAAGATTTTCTCAATAGATTTCAACCTTAGAAAGTCTCTGTGAACAATTCTGTGGATTGCAACCATGAAAGTTGCTCGCATATGTGCAAATTTCAGGTTCGTGTAAAAATATATTTGTTATAGTATTTATAGCGGTGAGCCCAGTGGTTTGCTTTGGCGAGCCAGCCTGCCTCAAAAGACTCAAAGCAAGCTAGCTCGGACACACAGACTGGCTCATCTGGGGGGATGGGGAAGGCAAGAAAGCTCCAGCAGAAGTCTAAATAGAGTACTACTGGGTGGGGGTATTACTATATGGTGGCAAAGCCCACAGGAAAAATAGAAAATTTTCAGATTTTTAATCTTGTTTATAAGCATTTAAATTTTTGGAAGGCATGTAATTTTCTCTGGATGGAGTGTGGAAAAGGATATTAAGTTGAGGGTGTTAATGGGGTATATCATGAGTCGTGATTCACTCAATTTCGGTTACTGTCAGTCGTGAAAACACTAAAAATTTAGCGTGAATTGCGAGGAAACAAATACTGTTTTAATAACGTTTCAAGAACACTTTTCAAAGATTTACTGTTAAAATACAAAATTTTACTTATTGTTAGCATTAGAATACAAACATTTTTACTGTTTATTGATTTCAGATCCCCTATCTAGACTCTAAAGTTGTTTAGTTAAAA